CATATTTAATACACTTTGTGAGGTGCTCTAGCACGAGTAAACGTGATGAGGAGTGTAATCATAGTCATGCATACAAATTTAGAAGCAAGCACAGCATATTCAAAGCTAAAACAATAGTCAAGGCTTAGTGTATTCAAGCATTAGCTGGACAGCTTAAATGCACGTCTGAAGGAGTTTAATAATAAAAAAATGATGTAGAATTGCTTGAAGAAATGATGCACAGGACATCATTCAATTCTGTATTTAATAGAAATGAAAGAGCAGAACTGGATCTATCATATGCGCAAGTGAAAGAGGTTCATGCATATAAGGAATGGAGTTCATACAAATTGCAGTATGATTTGTGTAGTTCAGAAAGCAAATGATTTGAGCTGTAGTAAGCTTTGGGTTTAAAAACGCAAGCAAATGCCAGAATGTTATTAGCAGAATGTAAGATGTCAGTTTAAGTAATAAAACTGAACAGAATATTGATATCAAAATTGCTTGAGCAGAATGTACCCTGCTTGGCTGCTTAAGTGATTGATTGCCGAACAATTAATCAATAAGACAGCCGGAATATTAATATAAGAAGTGAATAGAATTCTTATATGCTTCTTGGCAGGCACACAACAACACTTTAGGGTTTAGAGAAGGATTTCAGTAAAACCGGGGAGCAAACAATTTCTTCATCACTAGGGTGTGAAAGGGATTAAAATTCGAGCAAGTTATGGATCAAGAAGATGGCATTGATCCATGCTGGAACTTTAGTTTTGATATCAAATTAGTGCTGGCTGAGATGATCCAATCGGGATAGACCACTGTTGATCATCATACTTGCATGCTCGCAGCCATGAATTTCTTGGGAGATGAGGAGCTAGCCATGCCTTTTTTTTTATTTTTTTATTTTTTTTTATTTTCAGAGCTTACTGTCAGGAGATTTTGGGGTATTTGGTAGTGTGCGTGGTGATAGAATGATAGAGGTGGGATATTGGTAAGGAGATGCTTGAATGGTGAAGATAGTTGTTTGTTCTGGGAAGCTCTTGGGTAGCTTGGTGGGAGAGTTTGTTGGTTTAGGCTATTAGCTGTGTATGTGGTGAATTCTAAGTTAAGGTAAAGGGTAGTAGAAGAAGGGAGGAAGAGTAGCAGAGAAGAGGAGAATGAATGATTAGGTGAGAAGGTCTGCTTAGTGAGAGGGTAGAGGGAGAGGGAAGTTAAATTATGAACCGAAAAATAATCAAAATCCTTTTAATTTATTATGAATGCTTATAACATCTTTTTAGTGGAGAGCAGCTCCTAATTATTATATCATTACCATTATCATTATTAGTCTTACCTCAGCTCTTTTAGGTTAGTGTTATGAATCCACCATTTTCCATTCTACCCTGTTGAGTGTTGTTGCTATGTTTAACTTATTCTTTGCAGTTTATTTTTAACAATTTCATCTTATATTACAGTAGTTCTTCTCAGGGGCAAAACTAACCTCTTTTTTCTGGGCGACAAACTAATTATAAAAATAAATTAATTAAAAAAATAACACATAATTCAAAATTTAAACATGAATTTTATTAACATTGATAAATTAAATAATATTATAGGCATTTCAATCTATTTTCTATATTTCTATAAATTAAAAAATAATTACATGTTTTAATGTAAATATTGATATTAAATATAATTTCATGGAGTGTAAGTTTTGTGTGAAACTCAAACTAAATACAAAACATTTATTGAAAAATTTAGGAGAAATTACATGCATAGCACCCAATTCTTATGGATTTACTTATCTTACGCCTAAACTTTCATTTTTACACGCATAACACTTTATCTATGGATGAAAAAATGGATTTGACTATTAAAAGGGTGCTATTTTTCATATGATGTTTGTAATTATGAAAGTATAGATATGAGATAGGTAAATATGAAAGTTTTGGATGCTATGTATGTAAAAGCTCCAAAAATTTAATAAATAATTGTATGCAAAATAATTAATAAATAAATTTACACGTTGAGACTAACTATAATTTTATCATATTTTTATTTTCTATTTTGGTTTGCTCAAATATAGCAAAAGTAAAAAAAGAAAAATTAATACAAATATACATTAGGAGTATACAAAAACGATTTTTTTTTTAAATATTGGGGCATTTGCATACATGCCACCCAATCCTTATGTACATACACATCTAATATATAAACTTTATTTTTTACATTTATACCACCCAAAATTTTCATATCAAATCAAAAGTATCATTTTTTTTAAAATTTTTTTATCATCACAATTTTAATTTTCAAAAAGTGAAAAGACATTTTTTATGCATAGGTAAGGTGGTTTGTATGTAAAATTTGAAGGTTAGGTGTTAGATATGTAAATACATACGAATTGAGTAAGGCTTCAGTGCTTTCAGAATCAAAGATTGTAAATTTTTTCTCCTTTCAGAGTAACTAACTAGGATTAGGGATGGAAATTTGAAAGTGTATTTTTGCTGGGAAACACATGATATGAGCATTTTGGTAAGCTCATTAATCAATTACTTTAGTTGTTTCATTTCATAGTTTTATACTTTTATTTTCTAGTAAGTTTTGGGTTTAACATGCATATTATGAGGACAAGATTTGTTCTCTATTAGTTTGATTACTTCATTTAATTGGTTTACGACATGTTTCAATTTTGCGCTTGGAATCCTTGGATCAATTGTATCTATTCCATGTTTCAGCATGCCATCGGTCCTCAATTTTTTCCATTTGTTAATTTGGAATTGCACGGCTATTTTATTGATTTGGTTATTGTTGTTATCATTGAAATGTGCTATATTTCTTCCTCATATGAGTTTTTGGTTTGTAGTTTGCTGCCAATAATTGTAGCTTGGATGCAAGTTATGTCACTGTCTCAATGTTTTATTACTAGTTTTTCTTCTATTTCCTTAAATTGCCATTGATATTTTTGTTTTTTGTTTGCCTTATATGTTGATTCCCGTACTGGTCTATAGCATGGGCAATAATTCTTTATATTGCTCACTGTAGTTTTTTTTGACTGATTGATTTTCTTTTATGTATTTTAGTAAAGAACCTTATGTTGATAGAAAAAACCTTTTTTAATTGGAAACTCATTATTTTTTTGAAATCAAGGAAAATTGTTATTCTTGCTGGAATTCAGATATGCTAATTGAAACTTATAATATTAGGCTAAATCTTAGGGGTTAAAAGAATTTACTTATTTTGTATTTTTTGAGTTATAAATATGACTCAGGAGGTACGTAAGTTTTGATGAATGATTGAATGGTTAAATAAAAGTCCAATTATTCTTTCAATTCTTTTGCATGCTGTTGGATGTAATTCTTTGAATTTCTCATAAGTATTAATGACAACTTTTGGGGGATAGTTCTTCTTGTATTGTCATGAGATTAATATCTTCCACGTGGTTATTTATGTTCTCATTTTTTTCTCCAAGTTGTCTGGTGATTGATTTGAACTTGTTATTGATATTTGTCAAGCTTATTTTCTACTATTTTTTTTGGTGTGAATTTTCATTACTGCGGGATTTTACATATTTGTTCTAAGATGACTTGTGGAATTTTAGATTCTAGCTACTTTAAATTGTCGTTTCGATTGAATTAAGTTTGTTTTTTTTAGTTTTGTATCAAAAGTTGCTAATCTTTGACTAAATATAAGCTGAAAAATAAAAAAAAAATAGGATTTTGTGTTCGTTGTCCAATGTAATTAATTGATCTGAGGACTGCATTAGTCCTGGATGCCATTGTTTTACAAACATTCTGAGCAGAATTCTTTTTGTTTTTTGAAGACTTCTATTTGAATTTTTTTTTACTAATGATACATTTTAGTTTTAGCGAGCTTAACCATTTGATTGTATTTGTATTAACTGATGACCCTCGAAACTTTATGCCCGCCTATGATTACATACGAAGCTGATTACTCCTAGATTCTTGATATAATTCTTTAAACGCCATAACTTGCTTGGTTTTCCCTTTTTGGTTGTCTTGATGCTTCTCTTTTGTTTGGCTTCTCATTCTGGTGTGCAAATAATGGTTTTTTATATTTATGCCAAAATTCTTTTTGTTCCAAAATTAATATATCGATTATGCTTATTTTAATCTCCTGGGATGATCTACTTGATATATTCAAAAAAAAAAAAAAAAGAAGAAGATGACCTTTTTGACAGCCAGACAATTGAAGCAATAAGTATCTCATTCGTCATTATTAACATAATGAGAAAAAATAGCAATGTTCCCTTGAGTCTTTATAGGGGTCATTTTAGTGCTAAATTATATAAAAATATCAATTTAGTCCCCAAAATCTTTTATTATGAGCTGAAATAGTTCCCATTGCGGACAATTTTAGGACCACATTATAACACTCTAGGGACTAATTTAACACTTCTATAAACTCGGGGACTAAAATGATTTCATCTAAAAGTAGCTAGGGGACTATTTTGACACTTTACTCTTAACTTAGTTGTTGATGGCTTATCAACTTAATAGGTGGCTGTCTGACTAAAATATACTGAAAATTGTTGTTAGCCATTTTCATCATAATATAGTAAGGCTTCAGTTTTTGTTTGGCTCTTTGCTTGCACTTTTTTCATTTCCCAACATTTTTTAAGTGTGTCTGTTTATGCGGATCGTGAAGCAATAAAGATAGTGCCATCCTTCTTGCAAGTTGTATGCATATGGACGAAGGCTTTTCAAGGTCCTTTGCACAAGCCATGGGTTCAAATTTTGAAGAATTTTTTTCCATCATATTATAAAACAAATGATATTCGAGGAAATGATTAAATTTCAACACTTGCCTGGTAATTTTGGACAAATTTTTCATTTCGTGTTTGAGATGAAATTGAAATGTGACACTAATGTCGTTGATGGCAGCAGTTGCATTGTCTTGTACACACCTCATAATTCTTATTTATTTACATGTCTAACACTTAAAAGTATCTTTAACATGACATCAAAGCTACCATTTTACTAAGTTTTTTGTTGTCTCGACTGATTTACAATGAATTATGGCAGGTATACGTACATCTATAACAGGCATGGCACAGAAATTCACTGTCTTAAGGTTTGTATTTCTTCTCAATAAAAGCTCGAGTGCTGGCTTGCAGCAATAAGTTTTTATTTTCTATTGTTTACCACATTTCTTTTATATCTTCATTATAAGAGCATTATAGTTTTGTATGCAAGATCTCTATTTTCATTATATTTCATTGCTGGTGTTTTGCAACTTTTTCCCATTGATGGGCTGTTTTGAAGTATGGAGTTCAAGTAGTGCATGATTGGATATACATTGATACACGGTGAAATGGCAAGTCTCGAAAAAGTAGGATTGGATGCATCGTTTTTTCTTTGAATCTATATAATCTCAATATGCAATATCATTTATATTTTTAATTTTTCCCTAGTATTGAGAGTATGTATGTGCGCGTGTGTGTGTGTGTGTGTGTGTGTTTTATTAATTAATTAATTTTTTATTTTTAAAGTTTGGCCCGGGGCTGATATTTTTTAAATTTAGATGCACTTTTGCTTAGGAACTATGTGATTGAGCTACCTAAGCAAAGCATGCACCAAATCATTTTTTCGTGTATATTATTTTATGGAGCGAAGTTTCACTCATGTTTTATTGATGACATCCTCTGCCTATGATATTAAAAGGAAAACTACGCCAGAGTTTAAATTTGCCATATGACTCATGAATCAATGCACACCTCAGATCCTTATTTGCATATTGTTTGCAGCTAACAACATAAAATCTTTCGTCACTAGATTGTGTAGCAATTAGTTTTTGCATCTAATTATGATGTCGATCTTTATATTGATATCATTATCGAATTATTGAGCTTCATCTTATGCAAAATTTGTGTTTCCTCAGGAACATGGTACGCCATTAAAGCTCCAGTTTTTGGAAAAGCAGTTCCTATTGGTCTCAATAAACAAATTTGGACAGCTTCACTACCAAGATGTAAGCACCGGCGAGATCGTTAACAATTATGGCACCAGTCTTGGCCGCACCGATGTGATGGAGACCAATCCTTACAACGCAATTACAAGCTTGGGTCATGCCGGCGGCAAAATCACCATGTGGAAGCCAACAAGCACAAAGCCACTGGTTACAATGCTGTGTCACCATGGTCCTATAACATCCATTGCCTTCCACCACAATGGCCATCTAATGGCCTCAGCCGGTATAGACCGCAAGATCAAACTGTGGGATATCAGGAAGTTTCAGGTTCTCAGATCCTACTCTGGTTATGCCCAGTCCTTGGACTTCAGCCAGAAGGGCTTGCTGGCTATGTCCAATGGGTCTCAGATACATATATGGAGAGATCCAAATGGAGGCCGTGATTATGGAAGATACATGAATCATTCCATGATCAAGGGGTATCAAATTGGAAAACTTTGCTTTCGGCCTTACGAAGATGTCCTTGGGATCGGGCATTCAATGGGCATTTCTAGTATTCTCGTTCCTGGTTCCGGCGAAGCGAACTTTGATTCTTGGGTGGCGAATCCTTACGAGACGAAAAAGCAAAGGAGAGAGAAAGAAGTGCATTCTCTCCTTGATAAACTCTTACCTGAGACCATCATGTTAGACCCAAGCAAGATTGGGACTGTAAGACCAACAAGGAAGAAGGAGAGGAAGAGTAGAAGTGAGGTGGAGGATGAATTGGAAGAGACTGTCCAGAAAGCAAAGAGCATTAAGTTTAAGAATAAGACCAAGGGAAGAAGTAAGTCCAGCAGAAAGGCTAAAAAGAAAGAGGAAGTTGTTCTGAAGGCGAAGAGATCGTTCAGGGAGCATCATCAGGAAGAAGAACAACCATTGAAGAAAGCGAAGGTTGATGAAACTGAATTGCCGAAATCGTTGCAGCGCTTTGCTCGGAAGAAAACGTGATGATAATGATATCTTGTTGTTTGATGGTTATAGAGTTTCAACTCAGGAGGATGAAGATTTCTAAGGGTGTAATAGAATGGAAAAATGCTTTTTTGTATTTTTTTTTCCTCTGGTTTTTCACTGAATGAGATGGTTCTGAGTGACTTTTGGGCAATCGGGAACCAAATGAAGCCTGGCGTCGAGATCAGTGTAATGGCTGTGTTTAGAACAGTCAGTCCACTGGGAACCAAATGAGTGACTATACGATTTGCAGACAAGATGTTTTATTTTGAGGGAAAGAGGAAAGAGGAGATGAAAGTCCACATTGTAGAATGGCAAATTTTTTCTTAAATACTATTATTATTAATATAAAGTAATTATCATTATAAATTGTGACAAAATGAAATTATAAAATAAATTTTTTACATTAATGAATAACTTGTGATTATCTTTTTTTACTAATAAAAAAAAAACAATTGAACAAATTACATTAACTAACAAATCATTAACTAATAAATTAATTTTTATGTGAAGTTTATTAGTCCATTTTAATGTACTAATAGTCACAACGGTCGGGATTGCAATTGATGTTCCTGAAAGTGATTTTTAATTTCATCTCTTTCAGTTGTGTCATTTGTGGCATTTCGTGGAATCCATTAAATTTGTTCGTTAAGATTTAGTGGCAAATAAAATTATGGTATACCGAAATCCAATAAATATTGTCTACTCATTCAAATATGTATAGAAATGCTAAAACTGTGTCACTTAACAAATATTGTTTAAATTCATTCAAATCTAAAAAAAAAACAAATTATCGAATGCCACGAGATGCTACAAATGAAACAACTGAAAGCGATGAAATTGAAGAAAAATTTCAAGAACATCAATTGCGACATCAACCACTGCGACTAGCGTCTCGATATACACCAGACACATGTCCAATTCCACCTCGACGTAGAAGATAGTTTTTTTTTTGTAATTATCATGTTATGAAAATATTAAAAACAACTAATAAATTTTACTTAAAAAATTAATTTGTTAGTTAATTTAATTTGTTTAATTATTTTTCTTGATTAAAAAAATAATTACAAGTTGTTCATTAATGTAAAATTTTCATTTTGTCACAGTTTATATTATTTAGAAAAAAAAAGTGTCCTCTATGGGACACATGATGCAAATTTATATCAGATGTCCAATAATAAAATGTTCACATGATCCTCTTATTACATTATTAAAGGAGCCCCTTTTAAAAGTTTTCCCTTAATTAAATGGCCGAAGAAAAAAATTTTCAAGACAAATCAATTTGGGTGCTCTTTATTTTTACTAAACCAACAAAAGTTCCAAGAGAGGTTATCTTTTAGAGTTTTATACTCTATGTTTTCATGTTTAATGTTTTGAAAGGCTATTGATTTAAAAGCAACAACTTAGATGATCCACTCACCATTATCCAATGGCTAAAATATATAAAAAGATATAAGTTAAACCAAGATAGCCAACATATAATTACAATGTCAGACCAATCTTGATTGTGGTACAATATTTTCAAATTAGCAAGAACGACTCTCTTGATACTTGAGTTGGTAGCAAAACTATTTTTAAAAATATAATTTTTTTCCCTCTAAATGTAGAATTTTTTTTTTTGTGTGGGGGACTCCAATTAAAATAAGCCCCCAAGTACAATGTGTATGTCAGTGGGCCCTACTTTAGAAACTTATAAATTTATTAAATTAAATATTGCTTAGGTGGCTTAATTTAATTGGAGCCCGTACGCAGCTCTACGTACGGGCTCCATATGGAAAATTTTCTCGTGTAGTGAACTCCGAAGCACATATAATATAAAAGTTCTTAAACTTTTTTATTACATTGCCCATTAAGAAAATTCTTCGAAATTTAAAACAGTTGGAGACTAATGAAAAATACAATTACCGACAGAAGCCACACTTTTAAGACAAAATTAGAGTAGAAGTAGAAAAAGAGGAGCTCAAATCTCATTTTCATTCCAACACAAGTAAGATATTTGAGAGGAAATAATGTTTTTAATATCTATACACTCTTAAGCCAAGAGTAGATGGAGAATTTTATATCATAATTTTGATGCTATCCAAGACTATGCTAAACAACATTACGTAAGTTGTTAAAAAAAGCCATAGTGAAAATTTAGGAACGAATTTTATCTTAGCCATGCCATAAAACCTCCATCTCAAAATTGACTTGCGAGCTAATAAGTGATTGTGGATTTGTTTGAAGCTTTGTAGGTAGGAAAATGACTAATATCCAAATAAGGAGAGCATTAGAGGAGAAGAGAGAGAGGAAGATAAGACATATAATATGTCATTCACATGAACCACAATAAAAGATTTATCATTAATCCATGGGTCCTAAGAAATAGAAAATATGACCCATCAACAGCAGTCAGAAAATGCCTTATAGAGTTGGTAATCAAAAGCCAATGAATGAGACCAAAATTTAACTTTTGAAGGGAACTTTAGCTAAAAAATAGTACCCAAATTCTCTTAGAAGTTGTATAAATTGGAACCTAAATAAGAAAGCAATTCTCGACACTTATTATAAGTTAAGAAAATGATTCATCCTTGAATTGTATGCCAAAATTAGAATCCGATTCTTTTAATTTCTAGGGTTTGAGATATTATAATTCTCTCAGGCACACACTATTAAAAAAAATATAAAGCTCTAAAATGTTTTTTTATTTTGAATTTTTTTTTTCAAATAATCGTAATTATTCAACTTTGAAAGTTATACAAAAAGTATCTTGAAGACGATGATATTATTCTTTTGAGTTTTTGTTAGAATGAAATTGACTAACTGTATTTAAGTGTAGCTTTTGGATTCATTTAAATTAAAATTTATAAGCAATTTTCACCTTATTATAGAACATTCAACACTCTAGATTATGGATATTTTTATTTTTATTGGCATTTTAAGTATAAAAATAAATATTACTTCTTTGACTTGAATTACATGAAAAGTTATGTGTTTGTACAAACATGTTTTGTGGAGCCATATGACATCCATTGTACAAAATTATTTTTATGAGTAAATTCTAGACAGGATATATTATTTATTGATTATTTATCATACTTTTTGAAGTTCCGAAAGATAAAAAAAGGATTTACATAGATTTTATAATAAAAATAAATTGATTATCATAATTAACTTTATGTCCTTTTTATTAATTTATTTTAAAAAAATAATAATTTTCTTATAAATGTCTCCATCACCCCAACTTCCCTCACATATTATCACTTTAGAATAGAAATAAAAAGAACAAGAGAGGGAGAAAAGATAAAAGAGAGAATCTGAGTTTTAAAAGTTGTAAAATTGATTTTGTCTATTGGTCTAGTTGAAAAAGTTTTTGGTTTTAGAGGCAACCATTATTTTACTTAATTTTGGTAAAATTTTTGGATTTCATTTGGACAAATTGTAGAAATCAAGATAAATTGATATCCACATATTTTTTAAATTGTAGCTATTATTACGGTGTTACTCAAGCTATTCTGCGTATATTGATACAATTATATAATGGTTTTATTAGATATTTCAGATTGTGTAAAATTTTAGATATTGCATGATTAAATAGTTGACAAAATTAATAATTACAACATACTGATAACATTACATTAATATAATAATCATTATACACTATGTTATATTGTGATCCAAATAAGTTAGTTGTATATGTTAGTAGATATTATAAATTTTACTATCTATTTTTATTTATGTAATTTTTACACACTATCATAGGTGATATGAATTATTTATGTTCATCATAATATTGATTTATCTGTATTAATGTGTAACTAAAAATATGTATGAAAATATACAAATCTGTTTGATAGTATAGTTTGTGATATGATCAAATGGGATGAGAACTACTTATATTTTATAAAATTTTGATGATATTAAACTCTCTTTTTCACAAACATACACAAATAATAATAATAATAATAATAATAATAATAGTTCTATCTAAATATATCTTAGATAATGTCTACTATGCATCCGACATGATGTGACTCTCTCTAATGCAAGAGTCATGTTGTTTCAAGTTGTGACAAATATTATGAGGAAATAACTAAATTATAGAGGGACAACATGTCCAGGAAAGCAGACAGGGATGAAAATGTTACTTATATGTTGTGGCATCTCTCATAGCTTGCAACTTGCAAAAGGAAGTGAAAGTCCCTTAACAAAGAGTAGATGTGTAAATCATTACAATTTGTATATTTGAAAGGCTAAAGAGATACTTTTATCTTGAAAATGAAAAGTCAGGTTGAGAAGCATGAGTGTGAAATCCAAGTAAGCATACATGAGAGATTTAAACTATCAATAAACATTGTGGATCACAAAATAGTTCAAATTGGCAACCTTCAAAATTTTATGAAAGTGTTTTTTACATAAGATTGGTCATTATATTTTTTTTCTTGTGGTATTGGATCAACCCTAACATCACCCAAAGGTTGACCATGTCTATAATTAAAACATAACCCTGACAAAAAAGGCATCACAAACTCAAATTTTTTTAATTTTGAAATTTGGACTTTTTTTAACACCATTACTAAACAAAAATCTTTGCAATTGTTTGCAATGGTTTATTACCTACAAGTGTTTTGATAACTAAGAGGATTCCAATTTTATTAGTAACAACAAAAATTTTACTAGATCTTTAACAACAAAATGTGAGTATTAATCAATAAGGGAATGAGAAATTTTCTATTATTGATAAAAAAAATTTGATGATCACTTTTATAAAGGGATTTTCCTTAAAAAAAATTCTCCCATTCATGGTAAAATCAAATTTATCTTAATTAAAAAAAATAAAAATGGTCTTTAAAGCGAATAGTTGGACATGACCAATGTCCCAAGTATTCTTAGTAGATTCTATAGAACATCATAAAATGGTGCTTGCTAAGGTAATAATTGACTTGAGAATGTTCTATCTCTTTAGTCTTTGGAGACTTCTTCTTGTGAGAGTCTATTAATTATCTAATATATGAAAAAGTTTAGCTAGAATTCTTATAAAACACATGTAAGTAACTTTTTCACTCATTTCCCCCACATATACTGAATAACCCTAAGCCACATGTCTGTGTGCTTAGTAATTTAAAAATTGAATGTCCTCATTTTCTATGTGATTGCTAATGTTCAAGAGCAATA